TTTTTTTTTTTTTTTTTTTGAGTTCTTTATATATTCTAGATAGTAGTGTTTTTTTGTTTTTTTGTTTTTTTTGTACCAGGGATCAAACTCAGGCCCTTTCACTTGCAAGGCAGGTAGTGAAACCACTGAGCCAAACCTGTGGCCCTAGATAGTAGACCTTTATCTGAATAGCTGGCAAATTTTTTTTCTCACTCTGTGGGTTGATGAGACAGGGTCTTGCTCTGTCACTAAATTGCCCAGGATGGGCTTGAATTTGTGATCCTCCTGCCTCAGCCTCCTAGTGCTGGGTTTATAGGTATGTACCACCATGACCAAATGTTTCTTTTTTTGTTTCTTGAGACAGGGTCTCACTATGTACTTCAGGCTAGCCTGGAACTCTTGGTGATTCTCCTGCCTCAGCCTTTGGAGGGTTGGGACTACAAGTATGTGCCACCACTCCTAGCGTTGCTTCTTGATTAAAGGAAAAAGTGCTGTTAGGGAAAGAGAGCTCTTATTTGAGGACAAATGGAGGAAGACCTCCCGGAGGAGGTGGGGCTGAGATTGTCTCTGGGGGCCTCAGCTGGAAGGGAAGGAGTAGTGGTGAAGCCCAGGGCTTCAGGTGTGATGTCCTGGATCAGAGCTTGCAACTACACAAGCAGGGACCTTGGGGCTGCAAAGCCAGGCCCTGCTTGGAGGGGTCAAGAGAGGGAGACAGAGGCTCAGTGCTAGGTTCTGCTTGGCCCACACATGATGCTGGTTTTTTGTTTTTTCAGTATGATTTGGTTGCCAACAGTAAAAAATGTGGTGCTTCACACAGGTCCACATTCCTGTGCTCCAGAAACCTGGGCACTGCCCTGGCTGTGCCTGTCCAGAGGGCACAGGCTCCCGGGGTGCCTGGTGCCCTGTGGTGTAGACTCCAGCTGAGCTGTCCCTGGGGTCAGGCTTGGGCTGGCCCAACCTCTCAGGCCCAGTGCTGAAGCTCTGTTTCCTGAACGCTTGCTGGGCTGTGGATCTGCAGCTGGCATCTCTGCTTCAGGATGGAGAGCGTGAGGCTTAGAACAGGCGCAGTTGCCAGGGATGTAGCTCAGTGGTTCCACCACCTGCCTTGCAAGCACAAGGGCCGGAGTTCGATTTCCAGTACCCCCACAAAAAAGAACAGACACAGCTGTCGAAGTCAGGGCTGCCTGGGACAGCATGAGGAGTCCACACCCAGGTCTCGGAGCCCAAGCTCTGCTTGTGCCGTGTCCCCTGGCCAGAGCTGTGCCCTGCAGTGGCCCAGGGGATGGGATCAGTGGGGTGGGCTGGCCTGCCATCCTCAGCCGACATCCTACAGACAGAGAGCTCCACTGTTCTGCTGCCTTTGTGAAAGCAGAGGCCAGGAGCTTGGGCTGTGGCACAGCGCACAGACTCAGACAAGACCGCTGTCCCGGGCGGCTCAGGGAGGCCTGGACAGCCTGTGGGACCTGGTCTATGGGCACCAGGTTGATGGGGCCCCGATGCCCATTCCTGCAGGCCTCACGGAGGATGAGGACGTGCGTGCCATGCTGCGGGGCTCCCAGCTGCGCAAGATCCGCTCGCACACGTGGCAGAAGGAGCGGCTGTACCAGCTGCAGGAGGACGGCCTGAGCGTGTGGTTTCAGCGGCGCTTCCGCCATGCGCCCTCGAGGCACATCTGTGAGCAGCAGGGGTGGTGCGGGTCAGGGGTCGTGTGGGGCTCGGGTTGGGGTGAGGACCAGCGCGACCCTCACCCCCACCACCAGTCCTCGTGCAGCACATTGAGGCCGTGCGCCAGGGCCACCAGTCTGAGGGCCTGCGGCGCTTTGGGGCCTCCTTCCCACCTGCACGCTGCCTGACCATCACTTTCCGTGGCCGTCGCAAGAACCTGGACCTGGTGGCTCGCTCGGCAGAGGAGGCACAGTGCTGGGCACGGGGTCTGGACAAGCTGCGGGTGCGGCTGGAGGCCATGAGCCAGCGTGAGCGCCTGGACCAATATCCTTCCTGGGACCCTGCTACCTGCCCAGGCCCCGGGGTGAGGACGCTCCTGGCACCCACCTGCCTGGGCTGGGGGGACTCACCCACCAGTTACTTGCCACTGGGGTGGGGCAGAGGTGGGGCCCACCTCACCTGACCTTTCCTGAGCACGCACACCTGGGTCCACTTCTACCTGCATCAGGCAGACTCCAACCAAGACAGCAAGATGAGCTTCAAGGAGATCAAGAGCCTGCTGTGCATGGTCAATGTGGACATGAATGACATGTATGCCTACCGACTCTTCAAGGTGAGCCTCGGGCCTCCGGGCCACCGATGTCCGTGCGTGCCTGGTGACCTTTCCCTCCAGAGGCCCAGCCAAGCGCACATCCTACACCCTACAGGCCCTCCTGTGTCCGTGTGGCTCCGTGTCCTGTGTGCACTACGGGCACAGAGTGGGCTGACTGGGACATGGCAGAGACTGGATGCTGAGCGTGTGACTCAGCCACGGGGCCTGGCTCTACAAGGTGTAAGCTCCCGGTCACTGCTTGTTGGCCAGGTGTGGACTTGAGTGTGAGTGTGGTCACAGGCACACAGAGCTGCACTGTGGCACAGATCCCTCCTGCCCGGGTCACTGTGCCCCACTGCACCTGGGTTCTTGGGTTGGATCGTGGTGCCGATTCACAGAGCCCCCTGGAATCCTAGCCCTGCATTCACCACTGTGGGCTGGGGCCCCACTGTGTAGCTGCAGCGGGTCCTAGGGTGTCGGGGCTAGTCTCCCCAGGCATCCCCCAAGTGTCCCCCGTGTCCCAGGAGTGTGACCGGTCTGGTGACGAGCGGTTAGAAGGCACAGAGATTGAGGAGTTTGTGCGGCGGCTGCTGAAGCGCCCGGAGCTGGAGGAGCTCTTCTGCAAGTTTTCGGGCGAGGACCACGTGCTGAGTGCCCCTGAGCTGCTGGAGTTCCTGGAGGCGCAGGGCGAGGCGGGTGCCACGCTGGCCCACGCGAGGCAGCTCATCCAGACCTATGAGCTCCATGAGACAGGTGGGCGGGGCGTAGGAAGGCGAGTCTGCCCCCACCTGGTGAGCCTGGTGTCCAGGGTCCCGGGGCTCAGGGAGCCGTGCATGGGACACTGGGGGGACGGTCCTGGGCCCATGACTCTGGCTTCCCACAGCCAAGCACCACGAGCTGATGACCCTGGATGGCTTCATGATGTACCTGCTGTCGCCCGAGGGGGCTGCGCTGGACCCTGCGCACACCTGCGTGTTCCAGGACATGGGCCAGCCCCTCACGCACTACTTCATCTCCTCCTCTCACAACACCTACCTGACTGACTCCCAGATCGGGGGCCTCAGCAGCACCGAGGCCTACGTCAGGTGCAGCACCAGGAGGGACTGGGGGGCGGGCCTGCCTGCCCGCTCTGCACGCTGATACCTCACCCATCCCTCTGTCTGCCTGTGCATGCACAGGGCCTTTGCCCAGGGCTGCCGCTGCGTGGAGCTGGACTGTTGGGAGGGCCCTGGCGGTGAGCCCGTCATCTACCACGGCCACACGCTCACCTCTAAGATCCTCTTCCGAGACGTAGTCCAGGCCGTGCGCGACCACGCCTTCAAGGTAAGCCTGGCCACCTGCACCCACAGCCTTTGGCCCTCACTGGACGCCCCGCTCCCCAGGGCAGCCCTCATGCACCAGTGCTGCTGGGAGCACCCTTCCTGCTTCCCTCCAGGCAGCGAAAGACACACTGATCTTGGGAGTCAGTGGGGTATCTGTATAAACTCGCACTCCTGCCCGCCCAGGTGTAGGGACGTCACCGCCCCTGAGTGATCAGGGGGCATTTGTGGCTTCAGCCCACACAGTCCACATCATTAACACGTGAAGGATATCACTAGCCAGGCACAGTGGCACGGCTGGTAATCCCAGCTCCTGGAGAAGCGGAGGCAGGAGGATTTCAACTTCCAGGCCAGCCTGGGTAGCTTACTGAGACTTTGTTTCAGAAGTTTAAAAAGTAGATTAAAAAGGCTGGGGATGCAAGGCCCTCCGTTTGATCCCCATCACCTCAGATGAATGAATAAGGCATCCCACAGGCCTCAGCCTTCCAGACAGCCTCCCATAGTCCCTGCATGTCCGCTCCCGTGGGCTCCGTCCTCCAGGCCCCACAGAGCTGGTGCTGCTGTCCTGAGCACTGCCCTCCCCCACAGCTGTCCCCCTACCCTGTCATCCTGTCCCTTGAGAACCACTGTGGGCTGGAGCAGCAAGCTGTCATGGCTCACCACCTGCGGACCATCTTGGGGGACATGCTGGTGACCGAGGCGCTGGGCGCCCAGGATCCCAAGGAGCTGCCATCTCCCGAGGTGACGCTTCTGGGGCCTGGGGACAAGGGTCCAGTGGGGCTGCCATCTGTCCCTCAGTGTCCCTGGCTCTTCACTCCTGACATGCGCCACTCCCTCTGACCTGGCCCTTGAGGCCCCCGAAGACCCGCAGGCTGGGCCAGGCCCATCCAAGGTCGGGGACATTCCCCTCTCACCTGCCCACCCCAACCCCTCCCTGGTGGTTGGGTGACTGACCGAGGGCTGTGGAGGGGAGAGGGCTTCACCTGACCCTGTCACCTCCACAGCAGCTGAAGGGCCGGGTGCTAGTGAAGGGGAAGAAGCTGCCAGGCTCATGGGGCGAGGATGGCCGTCCTGTGTCAGACAGGGAGGAGGAGGAGGATGGAGAGGCTGTGGGGGCTGCACAGCGGAGGACGCCCTCGCAGTCCGGTTCCCAGGCTGGGCAGATCTCCCCGGAGCTGTCAGCCCTGGCTGTGTATTGCTGCGCCACCCGCCTGCAGACCCTGCCGCCCAGCCCTGGACCCGCCCAGCCCTGCCAGGTCAGCTCCCTCAGCGAGCGCAAGGCCCGGAAGTTCCTGCGTGAGGCAGGTAGGAGCCAGGTGTTGGGCATCAGGGGCACAAGGCGTGGAGACCCTAAGGAAGGGCTCAGCTGGGAGTGGGGCCGCCAGCAGCCTCAGTCTGGCCAGGAGCTCAGCAGGAGGGGAGGCCTAGAAGGCATCCTGGAGGGAGGTTCCCAGGCCAGAGGAACAGGTTTCCCTGGGCCTGGCGTGACTTCCGTGAGGCTTCAGGACACAGGCCCTGGTTCCGAGGGGGAGCAGGGTGTGGAGCCTAGGGCTGTGGGAGAAGGCCCTGCCCTGCTCTGCGCCCCAGCGACCTCTTCTGCCAGTCCCTCAGCCTGTCCCCAGGCCACTGCCCCGTCCCAGTCCTGCCCAACTCTGCCCCAGGAAACAGCTTTGTCCGGCACAGTGCCTGCCAGCTGACGCGTGTGTACCCGCTGGGGCTTCGAGTGAACTCAGCCAACTACAGCCCCCAGGAGATGTGGAACGCGGGCTGTCAGCTGGGTGAGTGGTGGCTGCTGAGACACGGGGTCAGGGGCTGCTGGGTCGGCCCAGGGAGCCTGGCAGGAGTGGCGGCCACCCAGCCTCCAGAGATGGAAGAGGCACCTTATTGCTAATTAACTAAAAAACCCCACAAGGGCAGTGGGGAAGTCAGCCTAGCTAGTTTGTCATCCACAGCAAAAAGTCACCTTTTTACAAAGATGGCAGCGAAAGCCTCTCCTGTGTGGCCTCCACAGCCACCCACCCTCCTGCGCTGACCAGGCTGTCCTCTGGGACAGTAAGCTCAGTAGGTGGTGGGGCAGCTATGGAAGCCCCAGGCCTTGGCCTAGCCCCAAGGGGCTTCTGCAGTGCCCCCGCCCCACCCAAGCAGCAGCCTGAGGGACAGCAGGGAGAAGGTACAGGTGACAGTTAGAGGGGCCCTTGGGGAGGCCCTCTCTGGGCACAGCTGTCCCTGACACAGAGCAGCAGGGACAGGGCACCGACAGTTCCTACTCAACCCTGCCTCCCACAGTGGCCCTGAACTTCCAGACACCAGGCTATGAGATGGACCTCAACACGGGCCGCTTCTTGGTCAACGGGCGGTGCGGCTATGTCCTGAAGCCCCCCTGCCTGCGGCAGCTGGACACAGCATTTGACCCAGGGTGCCCTGGACCACCCAATACCACGCTAACAATCCAGGTTGGCAGGGGGCCAGGAGTGCTCTGGAGACGCAGTGGTCCAGGTGGAGGGTGACAGGGACAGGGACGGCCTGGGCGTTTGTGTCCACATGGAGCAGGGTACGTGTGGCCGGCGGGCACCGGGTCAGAACTGCCTGTCCCCCAGGTGCTCACTGCCCAGCAGCTGCCCAAGCTGAACGCCGAGAAGCCCAGCTCCATCGTGGATCCCCTGGTACGCGTGGAGATCCATGGAGTCCCCGCAGACTGTGCTCAAAAGGAGACCAGCCATGTGCTCAACAACGGTGGGAGCCGGGCCTGGGTGGGCAGGGGGCAGGCGGGCAGCAGAGCAGGACGCCCACTCTGACCATGCCCTGTGCCAGGCTTCAACCCGAGCTGGGGGCAGACCCTGCGGTTCCTGCTGCGGGCCCCCGAGCTGGCCCTGGTGCGCTTCGTGGTGGAGGACTATGATGCAACTTCCCCCAACGACTTCGTGGGCCAGTTCACGCTGCCCCTCAGCAGCCTGCAGCAAGGTAGGTCCCCGTACCCAGCTGCCTGCCTGGCCCGGCTGGAGCTGGGCTGAGTGCCTGATTCCTTCACTCCCACAGGGTACCGCCATATCCACCTGCTCTCCAAGGACGGGGCCCCGCTGTCCCCCGCCACGCTCTTTGTCCACGTCTGCGTGCAGCAGTCCTGAGGGCTGAGGACCCAGGCCACTCCTCTCCCACTTGGCACTCCTGGTGTGCCGGCTGCTCAGGGGACAGACATGGGGCTCTGGTACCTCTGGTGTCCTGCACAGAGACTGCTCCACCAGGAGCTGGGGAGCTGGTAACCCCGAGCCCCAGGCCCCCACAGACCTGTCCCCACTGCCTTCTGGGGAGGGCCCCCACCCTGGCCCCATCTTGGGGCCTCAACCCCTCAGCCCCCCAGGCTTACCTGGCCTCCTGCCTCCTGTCAAGCAGGAAGGAAGCTCAAGATGTAGCTGGAAACCTGGCCTTAGGTTGTCAGCTGTGTCCCAGAAGAGCCTGGCGGGGGCAGTAGAGAGGCGTCTATTTTAACAATAAAGAAGCGACTTTCCTCTGCACCCTGCACTTGTGACCTAGAGGTGGGGGGACGAGAGCAGCCTCTTCCCAGGACACTGGCCGTGCCTGACCCTTCTCAGGCCAAGGACACTGGTTCACAAGGTCACACAGTAGCCTGGAGCAGGAGGGTGCCCTTCAAAGGGACCTGCACAGACACTGTCCTCTCCACCACGTGCCAGCCCTGCCACCACAGCCCTGGACAGTGCAGCGTGATCCAGGCCAGAAGCCCGCACCACGCTGGTCAGAGGGGCTGCAGGGGACAGCACACTATGGCATTGCAGGTCCCACAGTAGGCGCCAACACTGGATGGGGCAGCACTTGCCAAGGTTTCCACAGGGCTGAGCTAGGCCTGGAACGGGCCCCCAGGGCTGTGCAGCAGCACCTTCCTGTTTAGGAAGTAACAGCTTCTTCCTGGGAGCAGGGCTTGGTTCTGACATTTTGTACTCAGAATCCCAGGCTGTCAAGAGGGCAGGGTTGGCCCAGGTCCAGCTGGGTATGCCCTGGGCCTGGTGGGGCCCATCCTGTGCTCTCCTTTGGTTTGGCTGGTGGCCAGGATAAGAGGCCAGGGCTGGGAAACCTCACTGGAGGGACTGAACACAGCTGGTGTGAGAAAGGAGAGACCAGCACTGGGTCTGGAGGTCCTGGTCTGCCCAGCCTGAGTGGAGGCTGGATGAAGTGTGCATCTCGGGCAGTGCGCTCCAGGCAGGGCAGGGGCACAGGTCAAGCAGGTCAGGCCACCTCCTTGGGTTCCCCGAAAGGGCTGGGGGCACAGCCAGGGGGGTGGCAAGAGATCGTGGGCCCAGAAAGGGTGAAAAGTTCAAAGAGCAAGAACAGGGGAGTGGGAAGTCCAAGTGCAGTGATGGGCTAGCAATCTGCCTCGTTGAGGAGGACCCAGAGCCAGGGCCTAGCTCCAATCAGAGCTGACCCAGCAGGCACAAGGCCCTGGGTTCCATCCCAATGTTGCAAAAAACAAAAGAAAATCAAAACCCCAGAAAGCGCGCTGGTGGCTCAAACGAAGCAGAGCTGGTGGGGTGGGAAAGGGTGTGGGGTGTAGGGAGAGTGGTGTGCATGGTGCCCTCACCTCCACGGGAGCTGCCACCAACCCGCATGTTGCCCCTTGCCTCCAGGGGAGCCGCTGCCAATCCACGGGAGCCGAGTCCCAGGAAGAAGGCAGCCGCACCCTGCCTGTCCACACACCTGCTGACCAGACCACTGTCAAGGGCAGGGGTTTGTCCAGTGGCTTCCTTTATTAAAAATAGTGTGATGCACTGAGTGGAACAACACCGCGTTTGGTTATTTCCTCCCAAACATGGAAGTGGACATGTCCCAGAACAACGGAAAGGACACCACACTGCCTGTAACCCTAGTGTTTCCTAGAGCTACTGCCCACCTCCCTGGGGGCGCCGGGAGAAGCTGAGCCTTGGTCTCCCCCATCTGGCCCCAGACAACCCTGTCCCCTCCCTTGGCCTGACAGTCCCTGGCCCCTAGATGGCAGCTCTGGAGCCTGTCCAAGGCCTTGGACCCTCAGGCTAGTTAAATGCTGGTCCTCTCTGGGGAAAGAATTCAAGACCACAGGCCACTGCCTCGGGCTGTGGAGGAGCAGAAGGGAGGCACAGGCAAGGCCACATCTTTGTGGAAAGCAGGTGGTGGACACTGGTTGGACCTCTCTACCCAGCTTTCTCCCTGTGCAGTGGAGCCCAGAGGCAGGAGGAGACTTTGTCCTCAGGGCAGCTGCCCGAGGCAGCCCTGCCGTCCCTTGCTGCTGCCGGCCTGCCACAGTGCCCGTCCTGCAGGGCTCCTGTGGAGGGCCTGAGCCTGCAGTGCTACTCCGTGGCCCCAAACCCAGAAGGAGTTGCGTGAAGAACCAGGAATCCGAAAAGGACCGACTCCTGCAGCCCTGGGTGGGGTCCCCCCAGAACATCAGGGTGCGGACCCTGGCTGTAGAGAGGGAGGCGTTGGCACCTCCAGTTCTGCTTCTTCCCAAACAGCCCTGGTCCTCATTTCATGACTCTAGCCAACCAAGTAAAGCCTGTTCCAAAGATCCGTGTACCCCGAATCTCAGCAGAATGTGGAGCGGGGACCTGGCCCAAACCAATCAGGACTGACAGGAGCTTCCGCACAGTGAGATGCTGCCCAAGGTCGGTAAGATGTGAGAACTGTCCTGTGCTGTCCCAGTCACCAGGCTGAGGCAGCCGCCGCCTCTCTGCACTTCCCACCGAGAACGGCAGCTTCTTTGGTCTGGAGACTGGAGTGAGGAATCAAAGGTCAGCGTCGGGACCAGAAGGACTTTGAGGCTTGAGACCCAGGAAGCCTCTGGCGCAGCCGCCTGCATTCCCACGCAGCAGTCTGACCAAGCACAAGCAGACGAAGCACTCCAGCTCGAGACCACAGCAGCCTGCAGGCTATGCACACCAGGCTGGCCTAAGGCGGCCTCAGCTTGCTCCCTGCTGGTGGAGGCTTCCTCCCCTTCGAGCAGCCAAGAGGGAGTGCAGCGAAGACCCCTGCCCCAAGCCACGCTGTCTCTGGGGCTGCGTGAGGGCCAGACATGAGCAGCCGAAGATGCCTGTGTGGACAGCCACGTGACTGGGCGAAAGGACTGGGAAACGGGCACAACCACCACACAAATCCACACGATGGCATCGGTGAGAGCCAGCTCAGACTGTGGCAACGTGCCAAGTCCAGATATGCCTCTCGTCACACTTCCTCCTGGCCGGCAGCAGGGTTAACCGTGGCCTTGGGCTCTCCTCTGAGGCATGCTGCACAGGACTGGAATGGCGTGGTCTCCATGAGGTCGCAGGCAAGGGGCCCACGGTGCTGGAAAGGCAAAACCTCACGGGGAACAGAAGCCCCTCAATCGCTGGCCAGGATAGCATCCTGCAGGGAGCAGGCCATGAATGGAAGGGACTCAGCAGGACCTGTCTCGACCACTCCCGCACAGCGTTGCCCGCCCGGAGCCTCTCAAGCCGTAGGTCCCTCCATGTCCCTCAGCCTAGAGCCAGCGTGCAGGGAGCTGAGGCCCAGATCATCTCCTGTGCCGACGCCGTCTGCCTCCGTCCTTGGCTTCAAAACTTGAGGACGACAGGAGTCAGCCTTTCATTAGAGACCAAGCATCCTCGAGCATGTGGAACATGAAAGATTTTAAAAATATTTATATATATAATATATATACTTTTATTATTCACCCGTTAACTCCATAATATGCCAATCACGAGCTAGTTTCAGCAGTTACATTCCCTTGATCGTGGCTGCATGAGGATGTGATTAATTGGAAAACAGGGAGACCAGATGCGGCCGGAAGTGACGTTGCACAGCCCACACCACAGAAGCAGTCATTGAGTCCGCTGGCGGTCTGTAAAGTCGGTTCGGTTCTGTTCCCTTCCAGGGACTCTCAGGCCAGTGAGACTGGACCAACAAGTGGTGGGTTCCATCGCCGGCTGGAGTCCTCAGTGGCTTTATCCACAATCTCACCGACAACTGGTTACTGTAACACAAGCCCAACCTGGGGGAGCCAAACGGAGGCGCAGGGTGAGGGCTCGGTACCCAGCACTCGTGCCCATGGAGCCCACAGGCAGGGCTGGGAGGGCATACACCGTCCCACCCCAGACGCACAGTGGCTCCCCCGAGGCCAGGGCCCGGCCCTCGGGCCCTCTGGCCCTCAATGGGGTCCCACAGGCGCAGCACCTACCTTCTCGGCACCCATGCTGGGGCACTTCCAGTTGTACAGGTAATACTGCAAGTTGCCGTCTCCTATGCCAAACTTGAGCTTCTCCAGAAAGGTCTTGTTCTCCATGAGGTCTAGTGCATTGAACACATCGAACCCTTTCTGCAGAGTGGTGGAGAGCGAGGACAGGTGAGGACAGAGGAGGCCGCCTCACCCTCCTGCCCCCTACCACATCCTGAGCAGTCTCCCATGCTATAGCTCCCACTGCCCTTACCTCCCAGGAGCCTTTCCCGCTGCTACCCGCCTGCCGGCTGGCAGGCTCATAGGGCACAGGTGACCGTGGGACACACGGGATCACTGCCCTGAGGCTCCCCAAGTAGAGCAGAAGCTCTTGGGGGACAGAGACCAGGCAGCCACCCCTCCCTAGGCTGAGCTGGCTCCTGTGAGGACGAGGCTCCTAGGGGGTCGGCACCTCCCATCAGGAAGCCAGGCTTTGGGACCCTGCCGAGGCTGTAAAGCCCCCCCAGACTGACCCTGGCTTCCACCACGCCCACCGCCTGCCCAGGTTTGCTGAACCCCTAGCCTGCTCCTCACCATTTTGGCAAGAACAAGGGCATCACTCATGAGGTCTAGAAGAGGGGTCTGGGTGTGGACGTTGTAGAAAGAATAAGCAGCTTTCAGACTCTTGTGGGTCGGGTGGTTCATGATGGTGGAGGGAAGTGTATAAAAGCTGAGGAAATCCGTCACCTCACCATTTGCATTCTGCAAGGGACAAGAAGTGACGGCAACCCAGTGAGTTGCACCGTGGCCTGGGACAAGAAGTTCTCTGCACTCACGCCCACATCCAGCAGCTGTGCCTTCGCACTGGGCGGGGCTTGGTGGTGGGCAGGGCATCTGGCCACCTTTCCCACTGGGCGGGGCTTGGTGGTGGGTAGGGCGTCTGGCCACCTTTCCCACTGGGCATTGCCTCTGACTTCTTCCTCTTTTGCTTTTATTTTTTTTTTAAACCAAGCCTCACTGTGTCGCCCAGGCTGGTTTTGAACGGCTGGGATTAAGTGATTTTCCTGTCTCAGCCTCCCACGTAGCTAGGAATATAAGCCTTTGTCACAGTGCCCATCTTGGGTCCTCTGCTGTGGCTCAGACCCCAGATGCAGCTCTCGTTTAAGCTGGGATTCCCGATGAAGAGGAGCTCACAGACTCACTCAAGCCAGGCAGCAAGCACCTTCACCGACCAAGAGGTGTGGCCTGGCTTCCGGGAAGAGTAGGAAGCTGAGGTGCCTGCACCCGGCCCTGGCACCGGGGTCCAGGAAGGGGCCACCCCGGTGAGCACTGACTCACCTCCACCACAAAGGTGTCGATGATGTTCTCCTGTGGGTAGAACCAGTGCTCCACCTCCTCTTGGCTCATGACTGGCGTGAGGTGGAACTGCTTCAGGTACCTGGTGAGCAGCTGGTGCACTACTGGAGTGTCCTTTTTCTCCATCGGTCGCAGCCCGGCTGTCTTGGGAGTCTGGACAGAAGATCGAAAGGACGGTATGAGATGTGCCTGTCACCGGGGCCCATCCTCACCCTGTGGCTGGCTGTCCTGCTGCCCAGTTCCACTCCCCTGAGCTGAGCTCCCACCCTGCAGGGTGGCTGGCTACTGGCTGTGCCCGTGTACACCCAGTCCTTCCAGCCCCGTGATTCTCGAGAGACCATGTTTTCCCCAAGGGGACACAGGACAGTATCTGGAGATGTTTCTGGTTATCACAACTGGGGGAGGGAGCCACTGGCATCGATAAGGTAGAAACCCAGAGTCTGTTTAGCATCTACGGTGCATAGGACACTGCAGAGCAAGGAGTCATCAGCACCTGACACCCCAGACTGTAGCTCGGACTGGCACCACCCCCCCACAGTTGCTCTGTCTTGGGAAAATGCTTCAGTGGAAGGAAACGTGACCTTGGGGGCCAGGGCTGCACTGCTGGGCCTCCCCAGAGACTCAGTGCACAAAAATGGGGCTCAGCCACATTGGAATCTGGGTGCTGCCTGACAGCCACTTCCCAGGAGCAGGGCTGCTGCACACTCTGGCCTGAACCCTCCCCTCCGCAATGGCTCGCTGGCTCTTATCCCCCAGAGAACACAGGAGACCTCCTTCTGCATGCAGCCCCCAGGGACACCCGGAGCCCTGGACTGAAAACAGCCACTCTGGGCTTTCTCCCCAAGGGGATCCATACACGCTGGCTGCCACAGCGCCCTAACACTGCTCCCCACTGCCCAAAACACAGGCACCCTGTTGTGACGCACAGGGAGGACCCCACCGGGCTCAGGGAGCAGCTGGAAGCACCCCAAGGGCAGGGAGGTATCCCAGGAACCCACCTCAGATCCTGAGGCACTGTGCCCACGGGGAGCCAGGCCAAGACCCAGAAGCCAACACGGGCTTAGAAAACTGCATTTCCCCACAACTTGGCCAGCCCACTTCCCTGGTCCAGAATGGAGTGAGGAGCATCAGGTCAGGAAGCTGCATCTTCCTAGGAATGCTCCGCTCAGGCTGTGGCTACAGAGTGCACACAGAGGGCTGAGAACTGAGCAGGCCAAGGAATGGCACAGAAGAGACGGGACCTGCTGGCTGTGGGAGGCTCCCCAGCCTGGACCCCGGTCCCGGCCCCTCTCACTCCCTCACGCTGGCACACAGGCCACACGAGCATTCCCGGTCCTCCCCGCCCCGCCCACGCATAGGCACCACTGGCCTCTGGCAGTCGGTAGAGCTTCATAGTGCGCTGCATGGTCATGTTCCTGCTCAGGTGGGAGAACTTCACCTCAATCAGCTTCCGGGGGTTGAGCGACCGATGCCAGTACCTGAGGGACACAAATGTCCTGTCTCTAGGGGATGCTCCCAGAGCCTCAGTAGTGACTGAGACCAGTCCCACTCGTTAGAGGACAGCAGCAGGGAGACCTCCAGACAGCCAGCAGGTGGCGCAAGAGATGCCCCAGGCCCCACTGGCCAGGCTATCTGGGGATCAGGGCTGCGTAGCTGCTCCTAGGTTTTCCTTCTTCCCACAGCTATTCCTCTGCCTTGTCTGGCGAAAGTGACCTTCACTCCTGAGTGAGCTCATGGGAAAGTTGGTGGCTGTGCCCAGAAGGCCGCAGGTGAGTCCCACCCTGCCACACCCACCGGTGTTTTGTCACCTCTCCAGCAGGGATCACCCATTGCTTCAGGCGACCCTGGAGGCAGAGCTGTCCCTGGACTGCACAGGACCCGGCAAGCTCTCTGGCCCTCACTGTACTCGAGACATAACTGAGCCAACCATTTAAAACATTCTGAATTCCCATTTAAAAATCCAGACTTGGAGGGAGCCAGGGATTTAGATCTGTGGTGCCGCCACCTGCCTCACAAGTGCAAGGTCGAGTTCGATCCCCAGTACCAAAAAAGAAAAATACAGATTTGGTTTCATCTTCCAAAATGAAAAACAGTAGGTGGACTGGGGAGGGCCGGAGCTGAGGAGGTCAAGTACTTCCAGTCTGCCCTCGTCCCAACAGACTTGAGAGCCGCAGGGGCAGAACTGCACCTCGTGGGGACAGGAGCCCCACAGAGCAGGGTGGTGCAGGAGGGCCAGTTACCTGCAGGTGCCCACGGGCTTTGGCAACACCACCCCGGCAGTGTACACAGCTTGGAAGATGCCCTCCAGGTGCACCCGCCGAGTTATCTCTCGGATCAGGACTGGTGCCACCCTCTTGGAGCGTAGCTTCTTGTGGACACACAGGAAGTTGATCTCTACCATCTTCTTCTCTCTGAGAGGGAGGAAGGGTACAGGCAGCGAGGCTGTGGTGCTGGCAGGGCTCCTCCCAGCCACCCTGCAGACTATGTCCCAGAGAACACAGGTGCCAGCAAACACATGTCTGAAGGCACCACCGCTATCTCCATGCATCCACAAGAGTGGGCTTGGGTCCCACCTGCGGCTCGCAGGGAAGCAGCACAGGAATCCCCCAGAGTACACCAGGGCTGTTCTAAGATTCTCAGGGAGCTGAGTCCCACAAGAATCCACAGCTCTGAGCCAGAAAGCCATGGCAGAGAGCTGTGACACTGCAGGGAGAAGGGGGAGCAGACATCAGAGGTCCCAGTGACCGTCCCACTCGGGACTCCCTGGCTGCAGCCCCTGACCGGGGTGCCCGAGCTCGCCCCATGATGGGCGTCACCAGGACTCAGGGAAGCACGCAGCCCTGTGAGGAGCCCCTGTGTCAGCACTGGTGCCTTAGGGGGCCCCGTCCTCTGCCGGGGACTGCACAGCTCGCCTCTCCCCCAGAGGAGATGGTGACAGGCAGGGTGCTGTGCTTACGTGTCATAGATGTGGATGTTTGCCGGGATGGCACTAATGAACCCAACCAGTTTCCGACTTGAGACCACTCGAACCCCACAGTGCCACTGGGGAAGCCAGCCAGGTGGCCGCAGAGCCCTGGAAGAGAGACGGCGGGGTTATGGTACACGTGTATCCACACCCGCACAGATTCTGACCTGATGCCCACCCTGGGATGAGCAGCTGAATTCACTCAGGGCCAAGAATTCCCAGCCACACGACTTCCTGCTGCTCAGCCCACGAGGCCTCACCACCCCCTCCGAGGCTGTGCTCTGAGGACTTCACAGCTAAATCTGCCTGCGTCCACGCTGCCAGTGTGACCTAGAGGATGGCCTGGGCTCAGAGGGACGGATGGGAGCTGTGATCTGTCTGCTGCCCTGGCCCTGGCTTCTCACTCTGCTGGCCCACGCCTCCTTCGGGAAAGCCCCCCCATGAAGCCCCACGCCTCGGTCTTTGGGATGCAGACGTGGCTCAGGCAGGCAGAGGGCACAGTCAGGCACAGCCATCCCACACGTGCGTGTGTGCATATGGAAAGCAGGCACAGAAGGGCCCTTCTGCTGTCTGTGACTCTCAGCAGGCCTCATCCACCCTTCCCTTCCTTCCATCTAGCGGATCCTCCTTTCATCCCGGGTATCAGTTCTGCAAAGGACTACCTGGGCAGTCAGTCTGTCTGTAGTAAATCTCACTCTGGCACCCAAGTGCGGGCTCCTGGACACAGGAGCTCAGGGCTGCACTCACTGGCCAGCTCCGGCTGGCGCTGGTGTCCTGTGGACGCCTGCTCTGAGCTCTGCCGCAGCCTTCCGAGACTTTGGGCCCCGGACCAAAGCCCACATGAGCTATCCTGGGAGTGGGGTCCAGCCCTCAACAGATACCAAACCTGCTGTGCCTCCACTGTGGACTTTCCAGAACAGGAGAAACAAGTTTCTATTACTGCTGCATGAAACAACCAAACACCCAGGAGAAAGCCTTACAACTCACCACAGCAGGAACTCCGGGGAGTAATCAAATCGGAACATGTTGTCATCATCCTCCACGTAGTTCTCGTTCAGTAGGGTGTACAGTTCCTTCAGCTGTGGAGAAAGGGGCGCTTACTCGGGGGACTCAGCCAAGGGTCCAAGTCCAGTGTCCTTCGGCTCCCTCCCAGCTTTCCAGAAACAGAGCAAACCACCAACATTCCCTCTATGCTCACAAATCCCACCCACCCTGGGCATGGTGGGGGCCGTTCCGGAATAAGCACCCGGTTCTGATGGGAAACCGAGCCCCTGGAGGAGGGAGCCACAGGTGGGATCACACAGTGGCAGCTGAGGCCCGGCTCTGTCCCAGCAGGAGCCTCTGTGAGGTGCTCTGGAGACACTTGTGGGAGAAGCTGCCATTTTGTGTCCCAGCACATCTGGTTTTTATCGCCTGGCCCAAATAAAGGCCTTTCAACATCTTTCTGCCTTTCCAGCCACCTCTATCTGCTGGGCCAAGTTTACTATTAAATTCTGTGCACAGGCTCGGATGCAGCACAGTGGTAAGGCCTTAGGTTCAAGCCATAGCATTATCATCTAAAACATAATCTGTCCGTGAGTCACATGTGATTTCAGCACCTTAATTCCCGCACTTTGGAGGCTGAGGCAGGAGAGTAGGAGACCGTGAGTTGGGGCTGCAGGGCACTGTGCTGCTCAGGTGCCAGGACTGGGCACCATAGAGGGACTGTGCCTGTAACAGCCTGGGCAACAAAGCAAGGCCCTGGCTCTTTGAAGAATATTCTTTCCACATTTTCATCATCCCCCTTATGAGGAAAACAGATCCCTTGTGTCGGAAGAAGGGATTCCAGGAGGCTATGGTGGAAAGGGGAGGAAAGACCCCAATAAGCAGCCCAGCTCGCTAGGAGACAGACAAGAAGTGAAGTCAGACAAAGGAATAAATGACTGGTTAAAAAAAAAAAAAAGAGTGAGTGAAAAAAGGAGCAGTGCGTACTTGCAGTCCCAGCACTCTGCAAGGCAGAGGCTGGAGGACCAGACCCCAAGTTCAAGCCCAGCCTGGCAAACGACTACCTTAGCAACACCAGGTCCCAAACAAAATGGGCTGGGGATGTAGCTCAGTATGAAGGCCTGGGTTCAATCCCCAGTACCAATGACAAAAGGTGTCCAAATCAGGAGCCACAAGCTCCTCTCAGCCTCTCAGAAATGCTCATGTTGTCTGCGGGGATCCCAGGCAGCCCAGGTCCAGCTCCAAGGGAGAGCTGGACCTCAGGACAGGTTGCACCGACTCACCACACCCCGGTTACCCAGGTCCAAGGCGTCCCAGGTGAAACCCTGAGGCAGGGTGTAGGGCTCCTGGCGGATATTGTCCTTGTCAGGTTCCACAGGACCATGCGTATTCACCACTTCACCTGAAAGAACAAAGTCATGAGCCTCTTGCCTGCCTCCTGGTGGGGAGAGAAGAGTTCAGCTCAAAACCTGAGGGCAAGTCCCTCCTGTCCCCGGGAGCCCTCAAGAGGAACACTCTGTGCCTGGCAGCCGTGCGCCATTCCCCAGCTATGCTTTGTCCCTTAACTGAGCACCAGGGCACGGCAAGACTTCGGGACCATTGCTGGATCCAAGGGGGCTCATTTTTGGGAATTCTTCTAAACCTTTCCTGGGTTCCCAAATGGCAAACATTTATCTTTACTCCTCTGGCTGCCTGCCTCCGGGGTTGTGAAGAGTTCTGTCTTTCCCTGGCTAAGCCACTGATCTGAGTGGGTCCGAGAGGAGTAGTGACAAGGCTGCCTTTGTGTCGAGTAAGCACAATGCGCTGGCCCCTTCCTGAACCAGGCAGTGGCTTCCAGGCGCCAGTCGCAATCCCAGCCCCATCAGCTTCGGCTTCCAACAGCGTGGGCCAGTGCTGCTGCCAACTCCGGGCCTTGCTGCTCAGAAGCCACGAGTGCCTTCGGGCTGAGTCACCGCCCACGAGGTGCCCTGGGAAGGCCCCTCCCTAGCTGGCTCACCCCGCCCTGTGAGGGTGTGTGAGAGCCTGGAGCCCAGGGGAGACTGCCCAGATGAAGCCAAGAGCAGCTGGGCCAGTCAGGGAGTGTGCTCGGGACTGGCTCACCCACGGGCCGTGGCATGTCCCTTCGCAAGGAGTGGAAGGTAGGGTGACACATAGGGCAGTCAACAAAGCGGTTCAGGAAACACTGAGGAAGCAGTGGACGGAGCCCACAGAGCCAAGGAGTGCCGTGCAGAGGCCTCTTCCCAGGCCCACCTCCTCCCAGCATGCGCCCCACTCCAGGGTGCATCTCACGGGTGCGTCCCGCTCAGGGGCTCTGAGCACCCCGGCAGTGCAGGAGTGGGGGACAGGTGGCTCCGCAGAGCAAGCACAGCAAGAATGCAGTTATCTCAGGGCCACAACCAGTGGAGTCTGAGGAAGGCACCTGGAACTTGCTTTAGTAAGGAAACCCCTGGCTTTCAGTAGGTTTCCTTCCTTGCCAAAAATTCTCTATCCTCCAACATCAGAGACCCAAACCACGCACTGCAGGGCACCCATGAAGGGCTTGGGAAACATACCAAAGGGGTACAGTGAACACTGGGGAGGGGCCCAGAAAGCAAGGGTGGGCGAGCCCTCATTCTCCCTGGGACAGCTGTTTGAAAACTACTCCAAGAGTGGCTGAGCTGAGGCAAAAAAAGTTTCTGCCTTCTTCTACAACAGCAGAAAGAACATGACCTGGAAAGGGGAACACAAGTCCCATCAGGCACACGACGGTCACGCAGACCGACACTGAATCAGAGCTCGCTCACAGGGTGAACACAGGACCCTCGGCAGTCACAAGTTCCACAACCAAAGCAGCCCGCACAGGCGGAAAGATTGGGGCAAGCGGCTGGAAGCAGCGCTGCCCCCGGACTCCAAGCAACCAGACAGGGCTTTCTGCAGCCACCTCACTGCCAGGGTCCCCACTGCAGGCTGCACAGGAGGCCACGAGGCCCGTGAATGACACGCACCGCGCCGGCTTTCTTGTGAGCTTGCTGAGAACCGAACTGTAGACTTCCCCATATCTACATGGAAAGTGACGAGACTGGAGAGGCACAGGAGCTCACTAATCCCAGCCCGCGCTCTGTGAGGACCAGAGCAAGACCTTCTGCTTGCAAACTCCCAGGGAACACAACCTAGTGGAAGCCCTAAGTGTGGGCTGAAAACTGACAAGGCGGGGCAGCGCCACAGCAGCCCACAGGCTCCTGCCCCCTTCTGCCTCTCAGGGGAAGTGTTCTCTGGCACTTCGCCTTGCCGACAGCACACTGGGGCTCCACACCTGTGGAGCTTGGCCCGGCTTCAGACAGGGGCCCCGGCTCCAAGCCCCACGCACACCCCGCAGGGCCAGCAGGCTGGTGGTATGCGTCCGCTTAAGGTCTCAGGGGACACCGGTCCCTGAGGGTGCGAACCTGCAGGTCTAGGGACACAGACACACACACACGCATGGCTCCATGTTCCAAGGAAGCTTCGCACTGTTCTCATCCCGACTGTCCCCAACTTAGGATCTTTCAATGCAAAAGCAAAACACGTTCAACAGAACCTGTACTTCAAACTGTGAATTTTAATCTTTCCCTGGGCTAGGGAGATGCAGCATGACTGCTCTTGCGATGCAGCTTGGAGTCAGCCAGACAACCCCCAGGGGAGAGTGACACTGCACGAGTGCTGAGCTGTGACGTTCGGGTGTCCATACATTTGGGCTAGTTTACCTGGCAGTAACCGGGTACGCTGAAGAGCACCCACACACATGCTCGGCAGAAGGGACCTCTGCAGAGAAACCCCCCTGGGCACAACTGCCTGTCTCCCTTCCAGGTCTGGCCTGGCCCATCGGCCTTCAGTGTTTCTGGTGCAGCAGAGACATCAGCAACGTGACGGTCACTCACAGTAGGAGTTGGGACGTGGGCTCCCAAAACACTTCCCAGCCACACAGGAAACAAGAACTGAGCCCTCGATGGGCCCAGTCACGCTTCAAACTTTCCAGACATGTCCTGTCACCTACAGTCCCTGCAATAAGTAAGCCCTCAGGTTAGCTGTGGCTTAGTCCTGGCAGGCACCTGACTCCAGGAGCCCAGTCCCTTCTGTGATTCTTCTGGATTTTGTGTGGGTTTGGCACAGCCTCTTCAGGCTGCTGATGAATCCTACACATGGTACTCCAGGAGCTGAACCAGCACTGCTGAGTAAAGTGTCACGCGGCTTTGTGTGTAGTAAGCACGTGTCAGCTGAGGGGAGGGGAGGGGCCTGGGACCTGCCAGGCTGCGGTCACACACTGCAAGACCAAGGCAGTCCGGCACTCGGAGGGAGACAGCCCCGTGGAGAACAGCTCCACCCCGAACGTTCCGAAACACCACTCCTCTCTGTAGGCTGACCCTGGAGCGTGAGGGACTCAGAATCGTTACATGTTCTCAGTGTGAGCTGCTGTGAACAATGAGCTCTCTGAATGTCAGTCTCCTCCATAAACCTAACTCTAAAACCACGACCAGCAAGCTGTGGGCCTCTCCTGCCCCCGACAGCCCAGCACTGAACCCCACAGAGGCAGAGATGTGCCTCTCCCTCGCTGGGGGAAACACACATACCCAGTTTGGGGACGGGCTGCGTATCCCAGAATTGGTAGCTTCGTTTGCTGGCCTCCTCCATGGTTTTGGCAGGTCCCTGGCCCACAGAAAACAGCTCAATGGCCTTCTGTATTTCCTGGATCCTCTCTGCTGGCAAAGAGTTCATCTGCACAGGACAAAGTAGGGGCAGAAAGGGCCACTGCGTTAGTAAGACTTCTGATTCACTGAGCTCAGGGGGGAAGTGGTGCAACTCAACGAAGGGGTGCAGTTCCCTTGCCCTAATGACAGAGGCCCAATACAGCAGCCACCATGAGCTAACAGTACCACACCTCAGGTTTCTCCCCTTAAGTTTTGTTGTTTGATAACAAAAGTAACACTTGCTTAGGGAAAGCTTCAAATAACACTGAAATGTGTACGACACATAGAAAGTAAACCTAACAATCCCATCCCTTAAATACAATTTTTTTTTTTGACACAGGGTCTTGCTATATAGTTCAGGCTGGCTTTGAACTTATGGTGATCCTCCTGCCTTGGCCGCCCATGCCCTGGGATAACAGGTATGTGTCACTCACTACCTGTAATCCCAGCTACTCAGGAAGACAAAGCAGGAAGATCACAAATTCAAAGCCAGCCTGGACAACTTAGCAAAATGTGTCTCAAAAGATAGCTCTGTGGTATCCAACTTGCCCATCATATGCGAAGTTCTAAGTTCAATTTCCAGCACTGTAAAACAAAACAAAACAAAAACAGAAAACCCTGGGGAGGTGTGCTGGCATGTATACCTCAGTGCTCCCTGGGTTCAATCCCTAGTACTAAAAATCAGAAACGAAAAACAGTCATGTCTTAAACCAGGCACTATAATACACGCCTGTAATGCCAGTTACTTGGGAGACCAAAGTTCAAGACCAGCCCGTGATTTAGCAAGATAAAATTTAGAGGGTACGGGGGTACAGCTCAATGGTAGAGCGTGTGCTTAGCAGGGTAGGGGTCTAGTTCAATCGCAGCACTGGCTTTAAAAAGGTGCTGTTTTCCAGACCCTTCCAGGCGAGGGTGCAGATCGGCCCTCTTAACAACCGAGCCCTCTCTCATATGCAGCAGCCCTCTAACTGATGGGCATTTTGGTAGTTCTGCTATTTAGTTTTACAAACAATGCTGCAAGGAATTTTCTTGTACTTCTAGTTTTGTTCATTGGGATACGTATTTATGGACGGTAAATTTAAGAAGGCTGGCTGGGTCAAAGGATTTGTGGACTTAAAATTATAAAATGTATCATTATCTTACTCTCTAAAAGGAGAAAATCAAATAATCCAACAAGCAGCACAGGAAAAGAAAAATGTTTCCCAGACCCTCACTGTTAGGTCTACCAAACCTCAATCTCTGTTAATCTGGGAGAAAGAATGTTTTCATCTTGAGTTTCAGCACCTTTTCGCGCACTGGTTAAACGTGAGTATTTTTTCCTTATGAGCTCCCTACTCATTCATGGAACCTGGGTCTTATGACGGGCTTATGATAATGAACAGTTCTACTGCATGTCAGGCTGTAAAGAAAAGGGACGGGGCAGGCCTGCAGCTCAGTGGTGAGCGCGTGCCTATCATGTGCAAGGCCCAGGGTTCTAGTTCTATCCCCACGTCACACACACGTGAGCACATGAGCAAGTATAAATACATACGAGTGATTTTTTTTTCTTCTTGCTATGTTTTTATAAAACATACACTCCACAGTGAACTATGTTGATAAAGAAGAAAGCAGAAGAGCAGTAATGTGAACAGTGCCTGGGTCAGAATGCACTGCTGGGAGGTGACTCAGTAGCACAGTGCACTTAGCTTGCACAAGGGCTTGAGTTTCATTCCCAACATTGAAAAATAAAGGAGTTTAAAAAATTCTCATTTCAAAGTTAGGCTTGAGCTCCCGTCCTCACGGAGTCATCAAACACCCACTCCCAGAGAGACACAGGAACGCTCCCTGGGCCAGTCACCTCGTTCATGTTCACGCCTGACAGGAAGACCCTGCTGCTACGCAGGGCAGTGAAGGTAGGGCTGGTTTCGATGAGGTTTAGCCTGGAAAAAGCAGAGCTAACCTGTGGCCAACAAGCGTGAGGGGTTTTCCACAGTGGGTTTGGTATCAGAAATTACCTGAAGCCGCCTCATGAAATAGAAGATTCAACTCAGAACTCGGTATTTGAGGCACAAAGCAGAGCATGAACACACTGGAGCAAGAGCAGCTTTCCGGTGATGCTGTCACCTGCCGCTGAGGCGATCCCAGAAGGAATCTATGGCTACACTCTGCTCTATGCCCCTGGGGCCTACTTTGAAGAGGACCGCACTTAGCCTGAAATAAACGTCGCTTCTTTCAGGAACAAAACTGCCCTCACTGTTACCTCTGGGTTGCATCCCAGTGTGCTGGTCTTGCCATGTATGCTCTAGGCCAGTGGTTCTCAAGCAGCAGAACTCTACCCTGGGCACTCCTGGCTTTCGTGACAGGACCATGGCAACTGAGAGAATGCGTGCAGAAGAGTAAAGGTCTACCTTCAAAAGAGGGCTAGCCAGGCATGGTAGCGCACAATGTAATCCCAGCACTCTGGGAGTCTGAGGCAGGAGGATCACAAGTTCCAGGCCAACCTGGGCAACTTAGCAAGACTGCTCAAAATAAACAGGGCTGGAGATGTAGCTCCGTGGTAGAGCGGTTGCCTAGAATGCATGAGGCCCTGGGTTCAATCCCTGTACCATAAAAGGGGGAGGAGAGGGAGGAAGAGCAGGACAGCAGAGCTCTTCTACACACAGAGTGGGGACCAAGGCAGAGAGCCTGAGAACACTGCTCTAAGAACAAGGGCTGTCGCCCCGTCTGTGCTCATGGCACTGAGTCCTGCACACATGCAGGAGGCACTGTGCCCAATCTGCTGTGTCTTCTAAGGGACCAAGAGCAGCTTCCTCACCCGGTCAGGGCAGCAGGGCTGGCACTGAGCTCCCCTCGTCCGCCCTGGAGTGGTGTCAGGGGAGCTGCCTGTACACTGGCACCCACACTCTCCTTGGAAAAGTCAGAATGAGAAAAGAACCTTCTTGTTACCTTTACAGGCTGATCCTGGGCTGAATCTGACTCACTGCCTTTTTCTTTCTTCTTTTTTTGTTTCTTTTTCTTCTTTTTGGCTCCAGTGTCATTGGCTGGACTCAAACCACTGCAAGACAAAGCCAACACCGATGCAAGGTTTTCAAGGTCATCTGCTTTGGGCCATGGGACAGAGGGCTTCTGTGCAATGACCCATCCCTCAAGCCCGCTGGCTTCAGACAAGCCTGGAGGGCCTGGCCTAGGAGGGCACTTGGAGGACAGGGCGAGGGCAGCTCTCCTCCTATGCCACCCACTGCCCCGGGGTGGTGATCTGCAAGGCTAGCCTCTGCCTCAAAGGTCCTCGATTTCTGTGCTTATTTTCCTCCAGACTGCTGGGCCAGTGGCACCAAGGTGCACACGACAGCTGTCCAAGGCCATCTGTAGCATCACCACTTCTCTAAGCCTTGCATTTAAAGGGGGTCGGCCACAGCAGCAGTCCTCCTAAATGCTGAGTGTGGGTTCTCCAGAGGAGCACACCCAACAGAGCATGTGTCATCTACCAGCTCTCCCTGCCTTCCTGAAATGCACACGGCTTCCCAAGTATCCCCAGCTTGGCCTGAAGCAGAGTCCTCACACTAGAATGAGGACTGGGATGTGGCTCGGTGGGGGAGCTCTTGCCAAATATCCCTGAGGACAAGGAAGGGTCGGTCATCGAACACGACTACTGCAGTTTCCTTTTCCACTTGTTCTCTGGGACACAGTCTCCCTAGGTAGTTCTGGCTGGTCTCAAACTTGCTGTGTACCCAGGCTTGCCTTGAACTCACAATCTTCCTGCCTCAGCTTCCCAAGTACTGTGACTATATGTGTGCACTGCTACACTACCACACTCAGCTTGCCATTTCTTTTCTTTTCTTTCTTTCTTTTTTTTTGCCATGCTGGGGATGAACCCAGGGCCAGGTAAACATTCTACCCAGCACTTACTATGTGCTTTTTTTTTTTTTTTTTTTTTTTTTTTTTTTTGGTACTGGGATTGAACTCCAGTCCTTGAACTTGCGAGGCAGGCAGTGGAACCCCTGAGCTAAACCCCTGGCCCCACCATGTGCTTTTAAAACATGCCTTCAGAGTCATGTCTTCCTGTTCCTAGCACATATAACTTAGAGTAGTGCAGAAAGCCCGGGAAGCCAGGGAGCTCTGCAGTAGAGGCTTGGGCTCTGTTGGACCGGTGGAAGGGCTCAAACTCTGGACACAGGTGCACCTGCAAGTGCTCTTAGTGAGATACTGCAGCACCATGGTACCACTCAAGAGGGAACAAGCACCTCCTTAGAGCCAGAGGCCCAGTGAAAGCCCAGCACCCCAGCAAGGAACAGAACTCAGGCTGAAATTACCTCTCCTTCCTAATGACACACAGCCCACTGCAGCTATCACAATTCTACATAACTCTTTTACTTGGAGAGATTTTAACCAGGCTCAGGATCATGTGCAGTGTTTTAAGGGTTAAAAACAGATGTGCCAGGGGCCAGGGATTTAGCTCAGTGGTGCCAACGCCTGCCTCCCTCACAAGCGCAAGGTCCCGAGTTTGATCCCCGGTACCAAAAATAAAAAACAAAAACCAAAACCAGATAAGCCAGGCATGGTGGCACATACCTATTGTCCTAGCACTCAGGCAGCTGGGGCAGGAGTCAAGTTCAAGGCCAGCTTGGACTACACAGTGAGTTTAAGGCCAGGATGAAAAAAAAAAAAAGAATCACCCCAGGAAGCTAAGATCACAGAACAGCAGCTTCAGCTGGGATTTGGAGAAAAACGAAGTGCAGGACCCACAAAGCCAGGCTAGTCCTCCAAGACTTGACTTTTCCTGGAGACAAGGTCTCCCTCCCTACGCTCGTGCTCAGCCTGGGTTCCCAGTTCAAGTGACCTCCTGGATCAGCCTTGAGTGACAATACGGACAAACTACCACAACTGGACAACTGGACAACTCCAAACTTTGCCTTTTATTTTTCCATTTCTTTTCTTTTTTTGGTACCGAGGATGAATCGAAGGCTTTTGCGTTCAGCTACACCTCCAGCCCTTTTCTTAATTTTTTATTTTGAGACAGGATCTCACTAAATTGGGCTTAAACTTGTGATCCTCCTGCCTCAGCTTCCACAGTGCTGGGATTACAAGAGTGCGCCACCACTTCTGGCTTCTGCATCATTTTTACATGGACCCAAGTCCAGACTCAATGCTGTGTGGCTGTAGTCACAGCACTCAGATGACTCAGGCAGGAAGATCTCTATAGCTGAGGAGTTTGGGGCCAGCCTGAGTAACACAGTGAGATTTCGGTCTCTACCAAAAAAAGAAGAGAAGAGAAAAAAGTGACCTGAAGTCCTGGATGAGCACCCTAGGAAGGCCAGGATGCAGCACACAGCCACACAGCCTTTCAGATGGCCCTGCCAGCCACCTCAGTGCTCTGCAGAGGGAGGTTCAGAACCAGCACAAATCAAAGTCAACTTGTTCCACTTGATTCCAAAATAAGAGCAGAAGATGAAGTAAAATTTTTCTTTGGAAATTGTGAAATTTGCATTCTGATGCAAACTGATCAACTCAAGTCACCAATGACCAACCCAGTAAATATGGACCAATCAACAGAGTGACAGATTCGGGAATGGGGAAAACAGCATGCAAAAAAACAAAAAGCTGGAGAGTCAGGAGGCTCACCAGTTCAAGGTCAGACCGAGTAACTCAATGACTTAGCGAGACCTTGTCTCAAACAGAAAAAATTAAAAAACAAAAAGGGCCGAGGATGTAGCTCAGTGGGTTCCATCCCCAGCACCACATGAAGGCCCACAATTTTAAGTTTAAACATGCAAAAACCCCCATGGACACTCCTGTCTAAAGTCAGGGCTGGAAGGAATCAGCATGGACCTGTGTGATGGGGAGATGGGGACAGAGCTGAACACAGGGCCTGGGTCACAGCCTCCTGCCCGACCTGTTCTACTGCAGGAGGGAACCGAGCTGAGGAGGTGGCCACCAACTAACAATCAGGACCTAGGGAGAGTCACCTATCTCTAAACTCTCCTAACCACTGCAGTCTGTGCCATATAGTGCTTTATCTGGCTTTATCCAAAGCCAGAGGAGTATCTTCCATCCCGTTTTGGTTTTTTGAGACACAGTTTCACTATGTATCCCAGTCTGGCCTTGAATTCAGGTGACCCTCCTGCCTCAGCCTGACGAGTATGGGGATAACAGGTTGCACCACCACACCTGACAGAAGTGTATTTCATCACCCTGGGCCAGAAACGGGGGTTGTGTGGCAAGAGCAGGCATTGCAAGCCAGCCAAAAAGCCGCCTCTGACCTCCAGCTCTATTTGGTTTTTTGTTTTGTTTTGTTTTTTGAGACAGGGTCTCACTATGTAGTTGAGACTGACCTGGATCTCACTATGTAGCCCAGGCTGGTCTCAACTCACATGGATCCTCCTGCCTCAGCCTCCCGAGTGCTGGGATTACAGGTGTGCACCACCATGCCCAGCTCCAGCTCTATTTATAGGGTTTAAAATGCTGAAGCAGAGTGTCACAAGTTCAAGGCCAGCCTGAACAACTCCAAGAGTCCCCACCTCAAAATAAAACAGAGGAGCCAAGGGCCATAATGGACATCTGTAATCCTAGCACTGGGGTGGCTGAAGCAGAGATCAGGAGTTCGAAGGCAGGTTGCTTTTTCTCAGAAAACCAAAAATAAATAAATAAAAATGAAAACTGCTGAAAATGTAACACGGGGATAGCATTTGCTACCATTAGGCCCTGGGTGTACACACACACACACACACACACACACACACACACACACACACACACGCTCGCACACATGCACATCCTAGCTGGGGGCAGTAGTCTACACTTGCAACATCAGCTACTTGGAAGGCTGAGGCAGGAGGGCCACAAATTCAAGCCTGACTAGGGCAATTTAGTGAGAATTTATCTCAAAATACAACTAAAATAAAAATAGGGCTACAGGGCCGGGGATTTAGCTCAGTGGTTCTACCTCCTGCCTTGTAAGCGCAAGGACCCAAGTTTGATCCCCAGTACCAAAAAAAGAAAGAAAGAAAAATAGGGCTACAGATAAGCTCAGGGCAAGACCCTGGGTTTCATTCCAATACTAAAATAAAAGAAAAACTAGAGAATAGGGACCACCTTGTACAGCTGTTTCTCCTAGCTTCTCCACTTGTACTTAGCACACAACTAAGAGTTCTATAATTACATGCTTGACCGATGCTTTCCAGGCCTAATAGCCTAAAATAAAACTGAAAAGCTGCAACCCAAAGGAGGTCAGGACTGATCTTTATTTCAGCCTCCACAGGGTAGCTGTGCTCGTATTCTCAGAAAGCAAGGGAAATGCTGTGCTCTCTTGAGCCACTGGTTGAGATTTTAAATTACTGACCTTCTGTCGGAGGTAAGGTAGACCCTTGTAATCCCACCTACTCAGGAGGCCAAAGCGGGAGAACCAGAAGTCAGAGGGCCAGCCTGGCAACTCAGCATGACCCAGCCTCAAAATAAAATACACAGTGCTGGCAATGTCACTTAGTGCTCCCTGGATTCAACCCCTGGACTCCAGGGGAAAAATTCACATTTCTTTTTCTTGAGATGAGGTCTCTTTATGTAGTTCAGTACAGCCCTGAACTCACAGCGTAGCCCAGGCTGGCCCTGAACTCACGATCCACCTGCCTTAGACTCCAGAGTTCAAATTCCTTACTCACTGTATTCTCCCTCCTCAGATCTCTCCTGTTCCTAGAAGAGCAAAAACAAAAAAGCTTCAAACACACAGACCACAGGTGTATGTGATTAAAAGAAACAAAGTGAAGCAGGGCATGGTGGTGCATGCCCATGATCCCAGCACTCGGGAGGCTGAGGCAGGAGGATCGCTGTGAGTTCGAGACCAGCCTGGGCTACATAGTGAGTTCCAGATCAGTCTCAACTACATAGTGAGACCCTGTCTCAAAACACCAAAAAAAAAAAAAAAAGAAAAGAAAAAGAAGCAAAGTGAAAAAAATAAAATTTATAATCTTTGATCCCGTTTACTACCCTAAAAAACTGAACGTTAATTCTTTGTGTTAGAAATTTGATCGGTTCGGTGGCCTGCCTTACAAGCGCAAGGACCCG